GCCTGCCTACCTCGAGTATCTGCTCATTTCCAGAAATAAAACATATGGGTTGATGGAGACAAAGTTTTCTACATTTTTGATAGGCTAGAAGGTATTAATAAAAACCCTAACTACCAACCCCTCACCATTGCTTATGTGAGCAACCCTCACTAGCTCACTAAAAGTAAACAACATTCCACAGTAATTAGAGGAGTAGTTTAGAAACTTACAGTCAGTGATCCTCTAGCATCTTTCTCTTTTTTAGGCAGGGTCTCATGTAACCCAGACTGGCTTCGGGTCATTATTCTGCTTCACCTTCCCCAGTGCCCAAGTGCTGGGATTGTAAGTGTGTGCTACCATACCCAATTTTGTTGTTTTTGTACTGAGGGTTGAATCCAATTGTGGTGGTTTGAATAAACACGCCTACTCCTCCCCCTTTCTCTCTCCACTACCACTTCTAAAGTGTTAACCGCAACCATTAAGAAAAGAAGATTGGCTCACACCTTAAGTCCCAGCACTCGGGAGGCAGAGGCAGAGGCAGGCAGATCTCTGAGTTCGAGGCCAGCCTGGTCTACTAAGTGAGTTCCAGGATAGGCTCCAAAGCCACTGAGAAACCCTGTCTCAAAAAACCAAATAAATAAACAAACAAACAAACAAACAAACAAAAAAAAAAAAAAAAAAAAAAAAAAAAAAAAAAAAAAAAGAAGATTCAGGTAGAGGCAGGCCGATCTCTGAGTTCCAGGCCAGCCTGGTTTACAGAGCTAGCTCCAGGACAGCCAGGACTATTACACAGAGAAACCAGGTCTCACAAAACCATAAAAAAGGAAAAAAAAGAAAGAAAAAAGAAAAAAAACACTCAACTGGGAGGAGTGGAGGGAGGGGAATCTGTAGTTGGGATGTAATGTATGAGAGAAGAACAAGACTCTGGGGCCCTCAAGATGGCTCAGTGGGTAAAAGCACTAGCTACAAAAGCCAAGGTCAGTTTCCTGTAGTCAGAACCCACAGTGGAGCAGAACAGACTCCCACAAGCTGTCCTCTGATATCCACCTACAGACCACTATATAGATACATGCACACACAATAAAAAGTTAAGAGACTCTGAAGCCAAGAAGGGTAGTACATGTCTGTAATCCTAGCACCTGGAAAGGCTGAGGCAGTAGAGAAACTGGGAGTTCAAGGTCAGCCTGAACTACATGAGCCTCTGGCCCCCCCCACACACACACACACACACACACACACACACACACACACACACACACACACACCTGCACCACTCAAGAAAAAAAGCTGTCATCCATTCTTTTGCCCTAACCAGCTGTACAGCTAGAACAACCCCTTCTCTCTCAATCCATACTCACTGTTGGCAGATTGCACCTCGGGGTGGGTTCCTTTCTCAGGAATCTGTTACTACCTTAAAATACACTCCACATCTTTAAAGTAAAAGGCCCAAGCCAGGCACACACACACAATCTCAGTACTTGGATTTTGGAGGCAGGAGGAGTTAGTTGAAGGCTAGCCATGCTATGTGAGACCTTATCTCAAAAAGCAAAATTAACAAAAAAACAAAACTATTATTGCCGGGCTGTGGTGGCTAACACCTTTAATCCCAGCACTTGGGAGGCAGAGGCAGGGGGATCTCTGTGAGTTCGAGGCCAGCCTGGTCTCCAGAGCGAGTGCCAGGACAGGCTCCAAAGCTACACAGAGAAACCCTGTCTCGAAAAAAAAAAAACAAAAACAAAACAAACAAACAAAAAATCTATGATAGAACTCTAAGTGTGATCATTACAGTAATAATTTTGTAGTCATCTATGCTATTGGCAAATGCCCTCAGCACAGAATACTAGAGATACAGGATTTATGGGCCTGACAGCTTTTGTTTTGTTGTTTTAGATGGAGTCTCACTGTGTAGTGCTGGCTGGCCTCCAACTCAAGAGATCCATCTACTGCTTATCCTGAGATTAGTGGTATGCTCCCATGTTCAGCCTTCTGGCATCATTATTTGTTGTGTTGGGACACAAGGTATCTTGTAGCTTAGGCTGGCTTTGAACTATGTAGCTGAGACTTCCCTTGAATTCCTGATCCTTCTGCTCCCATCTCTCAAATACTACAGTTACACCAAACCTGGCTTGTTTAACTTAATTTCATTTTCTTCCTTGAGGCTTTTGGGCATCCTTTTTTTCTTGAAGTTATTCCATAGGTAGCTGGATCCACTGTTTTAGGCCTGTGGCAAAGCTGAGCATCATAGCTGAGGTTGTGTGGCAGAGAAAAACAGGAGATATGAAATTTGAGAGTAGAAAGAAAAAAAAAAAAGATAGGCTCCTATATCTTCAAGTACACAGCCCTGTAATTTAGTTTTCTTCCACCTCCTAGAAGACTCTACCACATGTTAATAGCCTATCAGCAAAGGACCAACACTGGGGGACACTTAGGAGCTAAATCTTAACACTCAGAGAACAGCCACTTCATTATTTCCAGTCAGAGGACTGGGCTGTCACTCATTAAGTGTGGGGAGGGCTGGAGACATGGCTCAGCGGTTAAGAGCACTGACTGACTGCTTTTCCAGAGGTCCTGAGTTCAATTCCCAGCAGCCACATGGTGGCTCACAACCATCTGTAATGAAATCTGGTGCCCTTTTCTGGCCTGCAGGCATGCATGCAAGCAGAATACTGTATACATAATTAATAAATAAATCTTTAAAAAGATTTAAAAAGAGACGAGTGGAGTTTATAGAAGGCAGTAGCTGACAGTTGGTTTTCTTCCTGCCCACAGTACTAGGATGTTAGTTACAGATCTAGATAAGCAGCCAGTAAACTGCTCATCTCAGATAATAGTAGTCCTATTACCCTCTAAAACTCTTAACTGGTTAGACATGGTCGGTCATTCACTCCTGTAAACCCAGCATTGAAGATTACTTCGAAGTCAGTCTGTGCTCTTCTGTAAAGGACCAAGGGATGGTGGGAGGAGCCAGTATCTCATCTGGAATGAGGCAGGCAGCACGTGGCTTGAAATGAACAAGGAGGTTCTTCCATGGCAGGAGGGGTTGCTGGCAGGAAGGAGCACCAGGAAGTCCACAAAGTCCTTCTGGGCTATGTACTTGGCAACAAAATCTGACAGGAAAATGGAAGTAGGAGCAAGAGTCCATGGAGGCCAGAGGGTCAGGGAAGTCCACTGTTTACCTTTCTCTGAGCATGTTCCATAGAACTGAATCCTACAGCGACATCCTAAAAATTCAAGAGTAATGTGACAGCTGGGTATGGTGCATATGGTAATCCCAGAACTTAAGAAGCAGAGTCAGAGCCAGGTGGTAGTGGCACACGCCTTTAATCCCAGCACTCGGGAGGCAGAGGCAGGGGGACAT